CATTTAGAAAACTTTGAATGAAAGACAAAAAGACTCCCTGGCCCCTGTAGTTTCAGGTTTCACATATATCCACAGTCAAAAGCAGAGGGAGGATACTCGAATTTCAGGATATGTAGTTCTTACATGTAAACCTAGAAATGCAGGTTTATGGAGCACTGCTAACAAACAGTGGACCTTCTGAAGTGTATCATACCATTAGCGGTTTTGAAGTTTAAACTCATCAGGTTATACTTCCTAATGCCCCATTTTTACACCAAACCAAACTTAGAAAGCAAATTGTGCAGTACTTAAAGGCCAGCGATATGCCTTCTGAAAAAAAGTTATTAAATACAATTCTGCATGTAACACACTGATCTGCTTATCTAACCAAATTAAACACTTATAGATTTCCTAAAAACTATAGGCACTGCTTTACCTCTTTCACTGAATTCTGTGATACGGTAAATGCCTTGGCAGTTGATTTGATAGGACTGGAATTGCCAACACCATATGCAGATTCATGAGGAAAAAGATTCCCAAGTTTACTTTCTTTTGCTTGGCTTTTCCACTGTGTAGGCTAAACAAAAATTTAAATAGGAATTTAAAGTCATTAACTACAATAGGATATTTTCAGGAATCTTCAGGAAAATGATTATACAAAAGCAAATCATAACATACAACCATAATTTAGTGCAAACAACTGTCTTCTTGTGCAAAAGAGACTGTTTATGAGCAACTTCACACTTATAAATACTGTTTAAATTTTTTATATAAAGACTAAAATTTAAAAACAATTAATATCCTCATATTTGAGCAATTAAGAATGAAAGCATGAGTCTTCAACAGAAGAAAGAATTTTTTTAATGTAGAATGTTAGAGAGTTAGGAACTACTCCATCATATACTCAGGAGCATAGAAAAAATCCTGAACAATAATCTAGACATGAATATGGAAAGTTGCATTTGGCAAGGGCCCAGAATGACACTAACAGGTTGCAATATTATATCTATCAACAATTGGGATAAATTCTGAAGATGTTTTTATGCTGGTTTCTCTTTCCAGTAGGTGTCTATTCTTCTGTTAAAAGTTGAATATACAAAAGGCACTGCTAGCCATGATTTAAAAACAACCTTTTCACTCTCACTTGTACAGTTCTTGCACTTCTCAAAAAAGGTAAATGAGAAAGAGAGATCCAAGTACAGTGAAGTTTAAAAAGGGTGCACTGCACTTACCAAGAGCCAAAAGCATAGTACTCTGAAACAGCACTCTCTGAGTGAATTAAGCACATTCAGAACTACAGAATAATTTTTTTCAATATGTTGTTCATGTATTCATGAATGTACCCCTATATCCAAGACTCACCTTCATGGTTGGAGTGACAGGCTTAGGGACTAATCCTTTGTAAACATTTGTGCCAGTTCCATTCTTTACTGCCTGTGAATGAAGACTTCCTACTACTGGGAATCCAGATATCTGCACTTCTTTTGTACTGCCCTTTTTAATGACCAGCATTCTCTGAGATCTAGATTTAGGATTCAAAGGATACTCTGGAAAAAAAGAAAAAAGTATGTGTGTATATATTTTTTATATTT